AAATGAGACACAGCTCTTCTAAGGTTGGGAGCTATCAGAATTTGGACTGTTTTTTTTGGTGTCAGAAAGTGGGAACAGTGCCCCAAAAACCTGAAGTGATCTTCTACTATATAGAATTTTTCAAGATTCTGCTCTTTGACAGGTTACCTGTATTCAGGGGGAGGATTTGGTTTTTCATTGTACTGAGCCAAGTCCTTCTGATACAGTGAAACAGAGTAACGGGAAGTTAAAGACTGTTATAACCAAGTAACTTCTAGCAGCATACCTGCTTCTTGCCACCTATTTTTCCTCTGACATTATCTTAACCTAGATGTTGAGATTTAAATTAGCTTAAAACTAGTCCCCTTCAGTAGGCAAAGCTAGTTTACAAAACTAAATGGAAGGAAGGTGCAGGGGGAAAAAACAGGGAACTAGACTGGGGTGTTTTGTTTCCTGACAAAGATTGTTTTGGTTTAGGTCCGATTTGCTGCTCTGCTTGCTTTGGTAGAAGTTGCACAAAAACTGAAGGAGAACTACCTGGTCCTGCTCCCAGAATCCATTCCCTTCCTGGCTGAGCTCATGGAAGGTAATGTTCTGAAGTGGCTCTGCTGAAGGCAGACAACCAGCTTATGACCCGAAAAGAACAAGGGCCACTACTTCCAAGATTCAGACAGGATGATTGCTAAAATTGCTGTAAATGTTACAAATTGGTATACAGTACCTTAAACTCTGCAGGATGCAAACTGCAGTGGGTTGTATCCTACACGCTCAAGTTCAGTTAAAGCACAGTGATTTCTTTAGTGTTACAGCCTGTGCACATCTACCCCGTTGCATGTGTACAGTGTTACAGTAGAAATAACTTGCCTAAGTTCTGAGTCAGTGCCAAAATATTTTAGAAAAATTATTTCATACCTCGTGTTTGAAGACAGTGCTAGCCTTGACAAGTGACAAAGCCTTCTGAGGGTAGCTTTGTAATCACTATTCTACTTAATTCCCGCTTTATTTCTTTCTAGATGAATGTGAAGAAGTTGAACAGCAGTGTCAGAAGACAATTCAACAGCTGGAAGTTATCTTGGGAGAACCACTCCAAAGCTACTTCTGAGTTTATCCCCTTTGTTTTCATATTTTGTCTGAATCATGTTAGCTTCGCAAGTGCTACAAGCAAACTATATTCCAGTTTTTATCAGAGGTAGTATTTTCAGTTTTTAATAAAACATTGTAAGAATTTGGCTTTGTCATTTCCAGGTGGTCTGGGGACTTTTCATATGACTTTAACTTACATCCCATTGGGTGCTGGGAACAGGCCTCTGTGCAGGGTGCAGCATCCCCCGTGGCTACCCCAGCGTGAGCATTCAGGCTCTTACAGGATTTTCTTAGAAGAAAACAACTGTTAATCATGTCTGCTGTCAAACAGAAAGGATGTCTGC